TCCTGTTTGTACTAAAGTAGTGTAATATTGCATATACTCTCAATATGTCATAATTGCTGACCTAGAAATTAAATATTTGCATATATTTTTTAATGACTATCTTTTCTAACTTTGGATTTCCTTGCTGTTGTTACTGCCAGTCCAGAAACAATGTGGAATCTTAATGCTTATATCTCATGAATTTATATTTTCCAAAATATGGCACTGTATATTGATACCCAGTGTGATGTGAAGTTACAGACTATGACTCAGGAGGCCTAGGTTCAAATCGTGCTCAGGCATGGAAACTCACTGGGGTGTATTACTAGTAAAGCCCCTCCTTGCATATCTTACTTACCTTGAAAGACCTATTAGAGTCAGTATAAATTGGTTCTGACATTGACACATAACAACATCAGTCTACTTATACATAAATCAATGAATGTCTGGTCTCTACTAGAGAGCCTTTTCTTTCTGTGTTAGTGGCATTCACAGTTTATTGTGGCAATTTTATACAGTACATTTATTAATTATTCTTAAAAGCTATGGATTTAGGCTTGCTCTTTAGTAAATAGAATGCAGAAGGGACTTTGATCTGGTGGAGGCTCCCACTGGTGCAGAGGGAAGTGATCTTTGCTTTTCAGTCTTCCCCCTGCAACATGTTGCAACAGTTCTTATGATGATCTTCGGCCTTCCAGAGCAGATTTAGAAAAGACAAAGACCTACAAACGGATTGGTGAATTGAAGAAATTAATCTCTTTGTCTCATCTAGTGGAGCATTCCACTAGCAGAGTTCTGCTTATGGATTTTCTGGAACAAAACCATTCTCATGAAATAGATTCATTCCTGTTCTACTGTTGCAAGCCGTGTATAGAAATTTGCAAAATGAGAGGGAGCAAAATAATACTTAATGCACTTCTTTATGTTACAGAAACACTAACTCAGAAAATATACAAGGAGAGTTATTTATTTATTTTACTTTCATGTTCTGATGTTATTGTACAAGAGCAGAAAGAAATACATTGTTCCCAAAGGGTCAAAAAGAAATATTTTGGCCACACTTCATTTTTTGCCACTACAGTTTCATTCTACTGTGGTGTTCCTTCCTTCCTTCCTTCCTTCCTTCCTTCCTTCCTTCCTTCCTTCCTTCCATTGTCTATACGTCGTTGTGGTCTCTTTGATTCACACAGCTGTATAAATTTGCAGATGACCCCTCAAAGAACTAGTTATCAATAAGTAATGTGACTTTTTCAGCAATACGTCATTGTGGTCTCTTTGATTCACACAGATCTATAAATTTGCAGATGACCACTCAAAGAACTACAGTTATCAATAAGTAATGTGACTTTTTCAGGTTATTTGCATTACAAGCATTTGCCTTATGATAATGTTGTAGGTTACCCTCACCTAACCTAGCACTTCCAAATGTGTTGTGCATCCCAAAAGCTTTCTCCTAGGCATATGAGTAAATAGTCCAGTGCATCTGGGGTGGGGACATTAGGTTGTGAAATAGTTTGACTGCTGTGCTGGCCAACTGATGTTGTAAAAGAAGCAACTAACCTCTAATTCCAAGAGTCATAAAGTCTGTCAGCACAACTTCCGTAACATCCCTACTGTACTGGTACTGTGGCAGCGCTTTAACAAGTACTTTTTTCTTAAGCCACTTATTTTTTGGTGCTGGGAGCAATAGCTTCTTGCATCTTCTATGCCAGTCACCAGTATTTCGTGGTCTGTACTGTGATTTATTGAAGAAATGAAATGTTTTTTAATAAAATAAATTTGAGGAAGAAACATTAACAAGTTTTTGTCCTTCCAAAAGTTATTCAAATGTGAAGTCACTGAGTGTAAAGTAGTATTTTAAAGTGGTTAAACATAAATAATGTAGGAAAGTAGAAAATAGATTAGCAGTAAGAAGTGACTTCTTCATTTGTATCAAAAGCAATCCAGTGGTGCTTCTTGAATGGAAGGAATGATTGACAGAGTGCTGTGTTCACTTGAATGTATTGTATTTATAGTCTTCACATTCTTCAGGGGAGGCTCTTTCTGGTCCCCCTAGAGTTGACTGATAATAGGGCCTGCTTGTGACAAATGGGGAATTTAGGCCAATTCGAGAGGTGCAATATATACCTAGAATCCCCATGTCCTTCCTTCCTTCCTTCCCTCCTTCCTGCCTTCATGCCTGCCTTCCTGCCTGCCTGCCTGCCTGCCTGCCTGCCTACCTACCTACCTACCTCATATTATTTAATATTGGTAATATGTGAAAAAACCCTCTTATTTTTAAAATACAGCACTTCTCTTCAAAAATGGTCAGGACATTTAGATAGCCACATATTTTGATAAAGGGACACTGCAGTTAAATATCCATGTAAATAGATAAGAGGAATGGCGAAAGTACTATCAGAAGGGTGGTATATTTATGTTACATAATTAATTATTAAATTATTATACTTATTGAATAAAATAAACAATACAGAGGACCCTTGACTTACAGAATTAATCTGTATTGGAACGGTGGCTGCAGGCTGAAAAGGCTGAGGTCGAGGCTCCATTGACCTACAATGCATTGAAAACCGATTAATCCGTAACTGGCCGTTTTTGTTCCATTTTGTCCCCCCCCCCCGTTTTTTTGGTGGTTTTTTGTGCTGCCTTCTATGCCAGTCACCAGTATTTCGTGGTCTGTACTGTGATTTATTGAAGAAATGAAATGTTTTTTAATAAAATAAATTTGAGGAAGAAACATTAACAAGTTTTTGTCCTTCCAAAAGTTATTCAAATGTGAAGTCGTCTGTAAGCCGAGGCTCCTCTGTAATGTGTTCAGTTTTTACTCTGAAGTACTATTACTGGATTATTAAAATTAAGTGGGATTCTCTTCCTCCTCTAAGATATCAGATAGCCATCTGTAACTAAAGTAAAAGTATCAGAAAGAATGGTTTGGTGTGTCTGTAGTGCTTATGTAATTTTTGGGATGACATGATGGCTGATTAATTCTTGTGTGATTTGACACCAACCTAGCAAGGCTGGTGCACATATACAACAGAGGCAGATATTTAGATACCCACTTGCATATGCTTATGCTTATATATTAATCTGATTTAATACACATATCAGCACTTAATACTTTGCTTGAACAAAAAGATGAATAAAAATAAGAGGTACCATTATAACGGCACACATTCAGTTCCTCATACTTCATACTAGGCCTGGATATATCAAGAAATTCTCTTGGTATTATAAGCCTAAGCAAATATAGATAACTTAGTATGTTCACTTTTGTTCTTGGTGTGAAGGAAAGGGATGGAACATGACAATTGTGTATGGGTCTTGCAGCAGTTTTGAAGGTCCATGGGAAGAAATTTACCAAACTACACAGTGAAAGATAGATTGATCTCTTTGACTGTTAGCAGAAGGGATATTAGTCCATGTTGCAAATAAGAAAGTCTCCAAAGATCTCAGAAAATATCTGTTTAATTATAAATCTCTTAGATAGTATGAGCTATTGAAGTAGTGTTTTCTTACAGATAATAGATTTTTAATTATGGGTCTTGTAGTATTTTTCCCTGAATAGGAATATTAACATAATTTAGATAATTTCCATGTACAGCATTTTCTTCGATATCTTGCTTAGTTCTTCCTGCATTGCTGATGCGATATGTGTTTCAAATAGTAGAACAAATAATGACAATTCAACTGTTAGCTCTGGAAAAATAATATTTCACTGTATGAGGGCTGTTTACAATAACATTTTCCACCTCAGCCCCAAAAACAGATTAATAAATATATTCTTACTGTTGTTTCAACTTATATACTACCCCATAGTGTTTAGAGCAGTGGTCCCCAACCTTGGGCCTCCAGATGTTCTTTGACTTCAACTCCCAGAAATCCTGGCCAGCAGAGGTGGTGGTGAAGGCTTCTGGGAGTGGTAGTCCAAGAACATCTGGAGGCCCAAGGTTGGGGACCACTGGTTTAGAGCACTCTCTCACTCTCGGAGTGGTTTACGACATAGTTTTGCAAACAATAACTTGCCCTCCAGCAAGCTGGGTACTCATTTTACCAGCCACAGAATGATGGAAGACTGAGTCAACCTTGAACCACCTATCTTTGGGACTGAACATAGGTCATGAGCAAAGGCTTGACTGCAGTTAACCACTGCACCATGGGACTCACTTATATATGCATATCAGTACCTATAAAGGGCAGATTCTCCCCTTGTTTTATTTTTAATGCTGTCATTCTTTTTCCAGTTGTGTGTATTTTGAAATGAAAGCTGAAGTTTACAATTGCACATTATTGCTGATAAAATTGCTAAACGAAATACGGTTGTATTCAAAGTGTACAAAATGGGCATATGCACAATTTTATGCATTTAATGCACCTTTTAATTCCTCTTTGTGTAAACACTGAGTATTTTGATTCAGTCTTCTGTAACATGATGTCAAAAAGCATCTGTTATTCGTTAATGTTGGTTGCTTACATTTCCTCCCAGTTAGAGAGCCAGCATGGTATAGTGGACAGAGTGACAGAATATGTCTCAGGAGACCTGAGTTCAGATCTTTGCTCCTCTATGGAAACTCACAGGAGTGCGTGGCACTGATAGAACTATTCGTTCAATATCTCATATACCTTGAAAACTCTGTTCAGTTTGCTAAAAGTTGGATGCGTCTTGATTGCACATAACAGGTTTTAGAAAAAATATTATTTTAGATAACTTATTTGACCACAAGAGAGAAATCTGTAAGAGGAAACAATACACTTTGTATAACTGTATTGTATAATTTACTTGATGAATATCAGTCTTCAAAACATATCTTTAGATGGATTCAAAGAAGGATCAGCAGAGTGACATTGTTCTCAGAACTGTTTTTTTTAAATTTTAAGGTGTATATTTGCTGTTGTGTATTTATTTACCATAAGTGTTTCCAAATACTAGTATTACTTTGTTCCTACAACATGTTTCTTTAAAAACTTCTTACACAGTCTATTCAATCTAGTAGTCTTAATTACCATTTTATATTGTTCTACAGGATGTAAAGAATCGGCGAAATCCTCGTCTAGTCCCCTATGCACTTCTAGATGATCGTACGAAAAAATCAAACAAAGATAGTCTCCGAGAAGCAGTTTGTACCCTTATTGGCTATGGTTATAATCTTGAAGCACCAGATCAAGATCACGGTATTGAAATGTTGCTTTTTCAATAAATTCATGATACCAAGAATTACAGATAGATTTACCATTTATATTTTTTAAAACTATTTGTAAGACTCTTGCAATTTAATAAATATATGATGAAGTCTAAATGAATGACTCGTTAATTGTAGTATACTTCAGTGATGAAGACTGTAAGACATAATACAGCTAGACCTCTCTATCTGTAGTGTTTCTGCAGTAGATGCTGTATCCTGCTATATGTTGTAGATGACCCTTCACTAGAAGAACATATTTTACAGTAGCTGATTGTGTAATTGTCACAGTAGGACAATTATACGTCCTGTAAGTGGCAAGTTAGCTTGCTTTGTTTTATAGTTGGTCTTAAGGAAATAAGCATGTTCTTCCTTTGTAAGTCTGATTTTTCAGACACAAAGACTGCCTCCGTCATATCTCTTGAACATCAGTATGATTTCAGCTTCAGCTACAAGTTATCTGTAGCATATAATTTGCCCCCTCAGATATGCTTCCCAGGGATGTGGAACAATGAGGAGAACTAAGCTTCAGAATTTAATTGGCAGAGATGTATGTATCCATGAGATATTCTGGTCCAGTCTAATTAGTTTAGATGTTTTTCTGCAAAAGGGGGTGTTTTCATGAGTCCTAGAATCTAAGAGCCAGTATGATGGAGTGTCGGAAAACAGGTGATCTGAGTTTAAATCTCTGCTTGGCCTTGGGGACTCAAGTTTTTTATGTACCTTGAAAACCCTGTTGAATTCACCATAAGCTGGATGTGACCTGATGACACAGAACACCACCACCAGGCTTTCACACCAGAGGCTATTGGTACCTTATATTCTTTCTCCGCTTATCTTGCTTTTAAAAAAAAAGCCATTAGTGCCGCATGCCTTTGTCCTGTAAGAGCTTTATCCCAGCAGTCGCCATGTACTGCCATATATGGGTATTGGGAATCTAGAAAAGTAGCAGAGCATATGATCAATTTAGAGATGGGGGTATTCGTTTACAAATATGAATATCCCTGCACAGCTGGACTTAATGCACTCACGTGTCCGGTGGCGGTGGCTTCGCTCAGCCTTCCAATCATGCCTGGAGCCCTGATCTCTTCCCAATCAGCTGGCCATTCGGCAGCCATGCAGGGACACTCATCCTCCCTCCCCCTGCCTGAAGTGACTATCCAATGGATGTTGATCCACCTGTGATTCTGAACCTAGAAAAATCATGTCATCCAAGCGTTATTCTATCATTCACTTAGTACTCACCTGTCAATCAACCAATTTATTCTATTATGCATGAAGCTAATTTACTTATACATGTACCGTAAACATAAACAAAACAAACTTTTTGAGTGGCAATATGTTTTTTTCTCTTCTGCCACAGGGTTGTTTATATTAACTAGACTCTCTCTCTCTCTCTCTCACTCACTCTCTCACTCTCTCACTCTCTCACTCACTCACACTCACTCACTCACACACACAACACACACACACACTTTATATAGAAATGCTTTGGGGATGTGATCCTGCTCCCTTTTTTCAAGAGTGAAACTGATTATTTCTTCAGCTTGGAGGGGCTTATTGGATTGTGGGAGAGAAGGAGAGAGGGAGAAGAAAAGATTTAGAATAGGATGGGGAAGGGCAATAAGGAAGAGGGGAAGTTTTGCCTGGCATATAGTTTTTAATTATCCTTTCCCTGCCTCTCTTTTCCCTTAAAAAACAAGGAAATAAAAGTTGCCTCAAGGGAATGCACACAGCAGTGGAAAGCCTGAGGTGCAGGGTCAGGCAGGAGTGGGTAAGATGCGTAGCCATGTGAGGAATGAAGAGCTATCTTTGTAGCCAGGCCAAAAAAAAAAGTGTCTGAGGCACATATCCTTGTCGATCCACATGATCTTTGTGTAGGATCAACCCCAATCATAGGCACCATCTCTGCCCACAGATTGGATGGTGGCTTGGGGATGATCCTACATAAAAATAATGTGGATCCATGCCTTAGATTAGTGTGTCTGCACCACTGCAAAACACCCATGCTTTCTGTGGTGTAGTGTATGGGTACAGATGGCGCATATGATATGAGACAATGGTTTGGGGCAGATCAAGTCTCACAAGGGCCCTTCCTTGCCTCTTTGTAAACATCCATAGTTTATCCTGGGTTTGTGTTCTTTGGAGTAAAAAAAGAGCACAAATATTTTCAGGAGCCGTGCACTAACTTCTTTCTCCTTCCAGACCTTAGCAACATTTCCTTTCCTAAATTCTCTATGACTTTCCCTTTCTCTCACCACAGCGGCAGGGGCAAGTGGCCAGCGTGAGGGCAACCAGGCACAGGACAAAGCCTCAATTGCAACAATTTTAAAAGAAAAACAATGTCACCCCCTCAAGTGGTATACAACACAGCTTAAAATTGGATTAAATGTTTTCCCAAGAGGATGCGATGCACACACCAGTCCAAATACCATGCGACTATATGATTTCAAAAACCCTGATCCAGCTACCAATTGATTTTCATAGTGTAATCATGCTCTAAAATGAATATTTTATTTTAAAATTTGCAGCTGCAAGACCAGATGTGTTTTGTGATATGATGGAAAGGTTTAGGATCTTCCGCACTGAAAAGACATATGCAGTGAAGACAGGAAAGTGGTACTTTGAGTTTGAAGCAGTGACTGCAGGAGACATGAGAGTTGGCTGGACCAGGCCAGGTTGCCAACCAGATCAAGAGCTTGGATCAGATGAACAAGCATTTGTGTATGATGGATTCAAGGTATGCTTAGATTTTTCTAAATTGTGGAGGGCCTTGGGTGATCTTCTTTGCATTTTGCTGGAACCTTGCCAGAACCAATCAGAACCTGGTCATAGGGCAAAAGAGTTATTCATGGGATTTTGCTAGATGCAAAATGCTGGTTCTGGGAGTGCAGTCAAAACACTACATGACTCTATTCACTCTAGACTGAGATGATGACTATGTACAATTACAAATCTACTTCTGAGTTTCTGCTGAGAAGGGAATCTTAATTTGATGTAGTAATTAGGGTTGGGGAGAAACATTAGTTGCTTTAAAAATGCCGGGAAAGTTGCTCTTAGATGTTAAGTCCAGTCATTCTTGGCAATTACTAAATTATCACCCCAAGTCTTAGGTGGACGGCTCATGTTTTCTGTATCATTCTTCCCCCCCCTCCAATCAGAAACGTATCTGTTTCCAACAAAGGCCAAATGGGGCTAAACTCCCACACAGGCATCACATATTTATACAGTACAGCCCCTCCTCCTGATGTCCCGCCTTCCACTCCCCATAGGATGGAACTTTCCCTCCAAACCCATGACAGACAGGTAACACCAGTGCTGTATGTAACACCTCCCCTCTTTATAAGTTGTTTTGTAGGGGGAAAGCTAAGGTGCTTTTCACCAAAAAACAACCTAGGTAAAATACACAACAACAGTTATACATACCATATTATACTCACTTATACTTACACTCTAAGTTAACCATAGCAAATAGGCATTTAAACATTTACCATTTAGGCATTTAAACCATATACATTACATCAATTTACCTTTATTCATACAAACCAATTCAAAAACAGGTACATTTTAGACATGGGGACGAATATAAAAATGAATCAGGATATTGAATGTATATCCCTGATTCATCAGATATTCATTGCTTCATATTCTTAGGGTCCAGAGACCCCTGACGAATATGAAGCAATGGATATAACCCTTTTATATTTGTCCCTTCATTCCCTATCTGCTTATGCCCCCGTGGATCCGCTGTTTCTTGGGGGCATAAGCAGAGAGAGATTATCGTTTTGGGTGACTTGCTAAAGCCTGTCCGAAGGGAATCCCATTCCCAGGGCTGCAGGATGGCTTTGATCATCTTTCCTCCTGCAGGGTATAGGAAGAGGGGCAAATGGATCAAAGTGACCCCCCAGCCTGGCTCCCTTTACAAGGGCTGTGGGGTGGCTTTGGTCACACTTTCCTCCTCTTCCAATCCCACCACAGGGGGATAGGAAGGGGAAGAAAGGGATCAAAGAGATTCCCCTGCCAGTCTACCTTTGCAAACACTTCGGGGCTGCGGGATGGCTCGCGTCCTGCTTGCAAAGGCAGCCAGGCTGGGGGATTGCATTGATCACTTTGAGCCAGACCTTTTTTTTAAAAGATAGCCCCATGGGATGTCTTTTAAAAAATGACCCAATGAAGCAACAAATTGATTCATTGTTCGTCAGGTCACTGGGGTGTGTGTGTTTAATTCATCATTTTGGTGCTTTGTCCCCATCACTAATCCATACACACCCAAGTAAATCTTTCTCAGAATACAATAAATGAGGTGAGGGAAAAGAAGCAATCTCTGTCCTCATTCAGAGATCAGCAATATCTGCAGAAAGGAGTATCAAGAAGAAACACTCATCAAATAGCCATTCATATATCAAAACAAAACCTTGCTGCTAAGTTAAGGTTGGATTCCTAAGAGATTCGTATTTTCTTTTAGCTGTCACCATTTTATCAGAGGATCTGCTTCAATGATCCTTCTTCCACCATTACTGTGTTCAGCATCTCCTGTGTAGTTATGTGATACTTATTGTCCACATTTTTTGGACACACTCTGCTGTCCTGGGTGAATTGATCTTAGATATCTCTTGCTTCAGAAGGTAAACAGTGGTTACTGTAATTGCACAAAGGCTTTCAAAGAATTGTGAGTATAGAAAGATGTCATGTACCAAATCAGACTAACTTGTTATCCAAATGGTAGTAACTCCTAAGGAAAAAAATTCACATCTACTGCTACATGACATTACTGACATTACTATAAACTGGAGATGTCAACGAGTTCAAACTAGACCTGGGGATGAAGATAAAAACAAACCAGGATATTCATTAAATATCCCTGATTCATCAGATATTCATTGCTTCATATTCTTAGGGTCCAGAGACCCCTGACGAATATGAAGCAATGGATATAACCCTTTTATATTTGTCCCTTCATTCCCTATCTGCTTATGCCCCCGTGGATCCGCTGTTTCTTGGGGGCATAAGCAGAGAGAGATTATCGTTTTGGGTGACTTGCTAAAGCCTGTCCGAAGGGAATCCCATTCCCAGGGCTGCAGGATGGCTTTGATCATCTTTCCTCCTGCAGGGTATAGGAAGAGGGGCAAATGGATCAAAGTGACCCCCCAGCCTGGCTCCCTTTACAAGGGCTGTGGGGTGGCTTTGGTCACACTTTCCTCCTCTTCCAATCCCACCACAGGGGGATAGGAAGGGGAAGAAAGGGATCAAAGAGATTCCCCTGCCAGTCTACCTTTGCAAACACTTCGGGGCTGCGGGATGGCTCGCGTCCTGCTTGCAAAGGCAGCCAGGCTGGGGGATTGCATTGATCACTTTGAGCCAGACCTTTTTTTTAAAAGATAGCCCCATGGGATGTCTTTTAAAAAATGACCCAATGAAGCAACAAATTGATTCATTGTTCGTCAGGTCACTGGGGTGTGTGTGTTTAATTCATCATTTTGGTGCTTTGTCCCCATCACTAATCCATACACACCCAAGTAAATCTTTCTCAGAATACAATAAATGAGGTGAGGGAAAAGAAGCAATCTCTGTCCTCATTCAGAGATCAGCAATATCTGCAGAAAGGAGTATCAAGAAGAAACACTCATCAAATAGCCATTCATATATCAAAACAAAACCTTGCTGCTAAGTTAAGGTTGGATTCCTAAGAGATTCGTATTTTCTTTTAGCTGTCACCATTTTATCAGAGGATCTGCTTCAATGATCCTTCTTCCACCATTACTGTGTTCAGCATCTCCTGTGTAGTTATGTGATACTTATTGTCCACATTTTTTGGACACACTCTGCTGTCCTGGGTGAATTGATCTTAGATATCTCTTGCTTCAGAAGGTAAACAGTGGTTACTGTAATTGCACAAAGGCTTTCAAAGAATTGTGAGTATAGAAAGATGTCATGTACCAAATCAGACTAACTTGTTATCCAAATGGTAGTAACTCCTAAGGAAAAAATTTCACATCTACTGCTACATGACATTACTGACATTACTATAAACTGGAGATGTCAACGAGTTCAAACTAGACCTGGGGATGAAGATAAAAACAAATCAGGATATTCATTAAATATCCCTGATTCATCAGATATTCATTGTTTCGTATTCTTGGGTTCCAGAGACCCAAACAAATACGAAACAAGAAATCTAACCCTTTTATATTCATCCCTTCATTCCTATCAGATTATGCCCCCACGCATTAGCTGTTCCTCAGGGCCATAAGCAGAGAAGGATTTTCCCTTTGGGCGGCTTGCCTACCCGAAGGGAATCCCACCCCTGGGGCTGGGGGATGGCTTGGTTCCCCTTTCCTCCTCTTCCTATGCCTGTGCAGTATAAAAGAGGAAGGAAGGGATCAAAGGGATCCCCCAGCTGCTGCGAGATTGCTTTGATCGCTGCTTTTCCTCCTCTTGAGGGAAAGTTAAAAAAAGACCCAACGAATGACAAATTGATTTGTTGTTCCTCGGGTCATGGGTGGGGGGCTATTCATGGTTCAAAGCAAAGTGCCATTTTGGCACTTTGTCCCCATCTCTACTTCAACCTAATATTGTTTGAATGTGAAGCATAGGAAGTTGATCCTCTTAATATTAGCATTTTTACAGTGGCCAAGATTCTTGTAAGTTGTGGTGCCAAATACTAGCTAATTTAAAAAGTGCTTTCTGTCTGCTTGGTCATGTGACTGATATGTGACCAGTAACATAACATTATCTTTTTGCTCAGTAGCAGTTTGCCACCATGATTTGCACAATTTCACGTATTCCAGAAGAACACCATAGGGTCTGGCCTATGTTTTCACTCAGATTTGGAAAAAAAATGTCCTAGTACGTTCCCAAATGTTTGTTAATTGTTTGGTTTCTTATTAATTGTTTTTGGTTTGTATGTTAATTGTTACTGATGTCATTGGTATAATTCATGATTAATTCAATTTTTGAGCATTCACTGGTTGAAATCCTTTCGTGTAGGTATTCGAACAGCACAAGTTTTAGAAATGAATTGACAAAATCTCTGTAAACATTATTTGTTGCACACTGAGTTGTGTGACTCAGTATGCCATAGATAATGTCTATGGAAATTTCTTGACTTACAGCAGTTTGCTTCCAAGCATTGTACCATTTGTGGAACTGTGTAATAGGATTTCAGTTTCCAGGTCCAGAAATAGCATTTTACAGGCATAGTGTGCAACCTGTACAGCAAGGTCTATGTGACTTCCAAAGCTTTAAGTTCAAGTTGTCCCTTGATTGCCACTTTCCTACCAAATGATGCCCTCTGCCAGTTTTACATCCTTTTTACATCCTTGTTCTTTCCTTACTGGAGGAAGGAGTGGAGAGAATGTTCTATGCTCCCTCCAAATATGGAAGATGGTTGTGCTGTATGTGGCTGTGCTCATCCCAAGACTACTTTCACATACAGCCCTCAGGGCCAAAAACTACATAGTCCGTATGCCTTGTAGAAAGAATAAAAATAACCTTCTTTTTGTAACTATTGCTTAGTTTGAATGGCATGGATTATAAATTGAGAACATAAATCAGATGAAATGGCAAATATGTGTATATGATTCATGGAATGCATATATCTTTTTTGCAGGATTTATACCTGCGTGTAGCCTGGGATTATCACAAGTGGGCAGAATGAACTTTGGCAGAGATGTTAGCACCCTGAAATATTTCACTATTTGTGGCTTACAAGAAGGCTATGAACCGTTTGCAGTGAATACAGATCGGGATATTACCATATGGTTGAGCAAACGACTACCTCAATTTCTTCCAGTACCATCAAATCATGAACATATTGAGGTTTGACACAACTTCAGTTTATTTTTGGAGAATGCATCTAAAATTGACTTACGTTGCAGTTGCCCACCCATTTACCTGTGGACAATACCCACTTAGTTCGAAGGGATTTATTTCTGAGTAATATGGCATAGGATTATATGGTTGTGTAGTTGGATTCGCCAGGGAACATCTTCACAAATTGTCATTTTAGAGAATGAAACTCCTGTCTATTCCTAAATAAATTGTCTGTGTTGCCATCTCCTTCCAACTGTCATGCCCAGTTGAGGATTCTGAGCACACCAGCCCTCTTGGAGATCTAGTCTGATTTTCTGCAGTACCCCATATAGCTATGGCCCTCTCTCCATTATGTCGTTGTACTGAGGTTTCTTTACTTGTGATAAGACTTCTTAGCTAAAATGTAGTGCTATTTTTCAGCTAAACTGAGATAGTCACACTCTTCTGCCTTTGTTCTGTCACTGGAATGTAACCCACATTTACATCTCTGAAACTGAACTTGGCTCTTGGGCTGAAAAAAGTTTCTATCTGTTGAAACACAGCATATGACGTATCAATGATTTCTTTGAAAATATTTATATACTTTATGGATCTGTTTGGGTATAGAGACTGTAAAGCACTAGAGGGTTATAACAGTAGAATTCCTATGACTACTGCATATTAGTTCCATGATTTACCATGGATGCCTGAAACAACAGATATGAGGGACCACTTTTATACAACATACAAGAGGCAGGACAAAGGTCACAAGGTATATTTTATATAGGGTTGTGGGAAACTGTGGATAAGTGAAACCACTGATATTCCATGGATGCAGCAATCCTACTGTAAATATATAGTAAAGATGGTATGCCTCTATGGATTGAAGCACCAGACTTTGAAGCTGCTTCTGTGAGCTTAAATTCCCACTGTGCTTCTTGGTAGAGGGATCAACTGAGAGCTTCCAGCACATATGGGGCTGCTGGGGTTCCATGTCCTACAGTCTGTGTCACTCTATGCAAGCTGCACAGAAGGAGAATCTGCTAAATCACTTCTGAGTACTTTGTAAAGCCCATAGGTTGTCCACTTCACAGCACATAATTATCACGTGTCTGTCTGTCTGTGTATTCCTAACCTTCAAGAGATCCTGATCTAAAAGAAAAAGTGCATGATATCTAGTTCTATTCTGAATAATCTATAATATAATAAGACATGTATATTATAGTTATGGTCAAATACCTCTCTTTCCAAACTAAAACCTTACATGTAAATGATTTGTGATATATATATATATCCACAAAATTGGCATTTAACTTTACATATTTTCATTAATTTTACATTTTAGTTTTTGCATTTGATAGGTTACAAGAATAGATGGAACAACAGACAGTTCCCCATGCTTGAGGGTCACACAGAAGTCCTTTGGATCACAAAATAGCAAAACAGACACCATGTTTTATCGTCTCAGCATGCCAATAGAGTGTGCAGAAGTCTTCTCAAAAATGCCTGGAGGAGGAGTGCCAAGTTCCAGCCTTTTTAGCACAAAGAGTGAAATGGATGATTTTGATGCAGATTCTGACTTTGAAGTCCTTATGAAGACTGCCCATGGTCATCTTGTACCAGATCGTGTAGAAAAAGAAGCAGTAAAGGCAGAGTTCAATAACCATAAAGATTATACACAAGAGAAACCTTCACGCCTCAAGCAAAGGTCAAGTGACTTAATCTCATTGGAATATTTTAATAATACTATGAGTATTCAAGTGCACAAGAATATATACTGTTCTTTCTCACAGTGTGACTGAATTTGCATATGAAAGCTATGTAACCAAGTAGCTATGGCAAGAGCATCTGATTTTAAGGATCCTTTGGCCAGAATTCTCTTGGCTTACTCCTTTACTTTCCCCTTTGAAGCTGATGGAAAACCCTTGAGCAGTAAAAAGCAAAATATTTAAATAACATGAGGCTGATGACTTACGTAGCCACATTAAAGCCATCAAAGTGGTGAATAAGTGGTGCATAACCTTCATTACACTCCTAGTCCACTCTGATTGTGCAGATGAACAGTGTCCAGCTTTCGGGAACAAAAGCCATATTTATGATTGGTCATGCATGCACACTTTTTCTACAATAGTATTTTGGTCTCTCCTATCAATTTTATGTTAAGCTATGGACGAATGTACTAGTTGTCTCATTCATAAAACAGATAGAAATAAAGAGTTCCACATAAAAAGGCAACTGCTTTGTCAGGTTAAAAGCAGCAAAAATATATATGTTGTCCTTACAATATTAGATAGTATATCAAGATTCATAAACTGTGCAGTGGTTAAGAAAACAAGTCCTGGTTCAACAGCTTTAGAGCTTTACTGCTTTAAAATGCATAACCGGCCATTCAATATTCCCAAGATGGCATCCAAAACATAAATACAGAATTGCAAATTCAGTAAAACAAAATATATTAAAATGGTATAGCAGAATATATAGCTAACATATATAGTACGCTAAAAGAGCTAGGAATAGATAGAAGTTAACAAGGAGCACGAGTGAGGAAAGTGCTGCCCTCCAAATGTCACTGGTCTGCAGTTCCCATGATCTTTGACCTTTGGCTCTGCTGAGAGACTTACAGTCCATAAACATTGGTGAGCCACATTGCCCATCACTGAAAAATGAGTAACATTTTGTTTTGGGTGTGATAGTTCTTGAGCCCTGCTCAGATCTTCAGTTGTATAGGCTAAAGTCTCTTCCCTCAAATCACGATGCATGCTAAATGTAATTAAACGTTTTTATATGTCATATTTGAGGGTAAAACCCTCTAAGAGTGCCTTCTAGTAACAAAATGATTAAGCTTAGAATCTGTCTTTGAATTTTCACTGGGCAGGTTAACTCTCAATATGCCATATTTGAAGGTGGAGTGTGCACATGCAGGATATGTGGGCATGGGGCTTTCATGCACATTTACTTTCCTCTTCCTTTTGAAAAAAAATTCAGAATAGGACTTCTGGAAGTTCCAAGATTCTTAATTCACACGGATTCAAGTGTGTCCCATCAATAGGCAGACTGGAACAGATGTATAGAACATTCCATCTTGTGTAGCATGTTAGGTTTTCTGTGAAATATTTAAGGATATGCATGTAAACTTTTTTTTAAGGTGAATTTTGGAACAGGCACAAAAACATTTATCGAACAAAGAGGAAGCTTCTAATTTTTTTGTTTTTTTGCTTGTGAAAATAGAATAAGCATGGATTTACATCCCTAATTCAAAGTACAAACATTTTTCTCCAATGACTTGAATACTTAAATATTCTGATAAAAGATTCATAATGGAATAGTGTATATTATCTTGGGTCTTTATGAAGAATATATAGCTTAACTGGAACACAGCTAAGTTTCCATATCTTTGCTGCTTCTTTATCTTTAAAATATATTTCAGTTCCTTGTTTGATGTCCATGAACAGCTTTTATCAAAAGGATATAATTGTTTATATTTATTGGCTATTTAATTAAGTTCACAGAAGTGCTAGTTTATCTCATCTTCTATATTTTGATATATTACAGATTTATGCTGAGAAGGACAAAGCCAGACTACAGCACAAGTCACTCTGCAAGGCTCACAGAAGATGTCTTGGCAGATGAACGAGATGATTATGATTTCTTAATGCAAACATCCACAGTATGGCAAATTAGTATTAATATTTGTAGCTTTTGCCTTCTTAGAGGACAGTCAAATGTTCTTGACTTGATAACACATACAATTTTAAATGATCAGGCACATTAGAAACACAATGTTTTCTTTTTTTTAAAAAAAAATTATGTTATGTTGGTTACTTAATAGTTACCATTAAAGTCATGGCCAAATCTTGTTGTGGCACTTACACCAGTATGCAGAAAGTGACATCCACTCAGCAGCGGATAGCCACTGATTATTCTCACTACAGTTACTTATTGTGTGCAAATTGGAGAGCTCTACACATGACCTGGAATGCAAGGGTTCCATGTCACGTGCAAAGCCACCTGAGTCATGCAGAAGGAGAAATCAGATGAGGAGTCATGACGGAGATTTTAAGAAGCAACAGTCGGCCTTTGTAAGGCTGTCATTTCCCTTATTGTCAGTTGAAAGACAGGCGAGTGAATCGGGATGCAATATGTAATAAGTGGGATTATAGGTAAAAGATAAAGGTAAAGGTTCCCCTTAACAATTTTTTGTCCAGTCGTGTTCTACTCTAGGGGGTGGTGCTCATCCCTGTTTCCAAGCCATAGAGCCAGCGTTTTGTCCGAAGACAATCTTCCGTGGTCACATGGCCAGTGCGACTTAGACACGGAACGCTGTTACCTTCCCACCGAAGTGGTCCCTATTTATCTACTTGCATTTGCATGCTTTCGAACCACTAGGTTGGAAGGAGCTGGGACAAGCGACGGGAGCTCACTCCATCGTGTGGATTCGATCTTACAACTGCTGGTCTTCTGACCCTGCAGCACAGGCTTCTGCGGTTTAACCCACAGCGCCACTAATATGTAATAAGTGGGATTATAGTTCCCCATAAAATTTAGGTTCACAACTTGGGTTTACCCATGGATTCAGCCCTGAGCCTACCTGCCCAAGTTTTTTGGATGGCCAGGACTGCATTTTTATTAGTAAGTCTAGTGGGCCAGCTGGGGTCATTCTGGGAAAGTCTAATTAGTCCACAATAATTTGTATCATTGTTATGTATTGTTTGGATTACTGTAGTGGGCTGTATAAGGATATATTGGCTAGTTCTTGGGAACTTCAGTAGTTTTAAAATACGGTGGTTGGATTGTTGGCCAGAGACAGTTATAGTGAGGACAGAATTTTTCTGCTTGAGCTGCTTCACCGACTACTGGTCTGCAGCGGCTGGTGTTCATTTATTCCATCACCAAAACCAGAGAATTCAAACAACTTACAGACAATGAACATTTTAAAATTTGTGCTGACTGATAGATTAAGCAACAGCAGAGTGAAGAAAAAAAGAGTTGTGATTATAAGTAATCTTTTCTTTTTATGTGGTATAATAATTATGGATGACAATAAATAATAACAAACTTAATATAAAATTTAAAATTTCTTTACAGTATTATTATTCTGTGCGCATCTTTCCTGGCCAAGAGCCTGCTAATGTCTGGGTGGGCTGGATTACATCCGACTTCCATCAGTATGACACAAACTTTGATTTGGACAAAGTCCGTACTGTTACAGTCACCCTAGGAGACGAAAAAGGGAAAGTTCATGAGAGGTTGGTTTTGTGAAACTAAATGCTTACATCATGTTGGTGAAATAATTTAACAGATTTAGAAAGATGTCACATTTAATAAAGTTTAAGGTTTTGCCTGTGCACCTTGACATTATGAGTCGTCTGTCTCATACTGAGATATTAAAATATTGAAATACATTGGTTTAAAAACATTATTTACTCTAGTGCTCTGCATCTCAACTCCTCAAGTTTCATATTTTCTCATCAGAAAATACTTCTATTTGTTTCTTTACTCAGCCCCATCAGATTGATAACACAGGCTTAGATTCCAAGCTGTGTCAGTTTTCAATTGATTAAAGCTTTATCAACAAAATCATCAGAAAAAGACAGCAATAAAGAATATGACATCAGAATTGTACAGTCTGCTCATAAGATTTCATATTAATGCTTACGACAGACTACAGCAATCACATGCCAATGCTCAATCATTGCAAACTCATTATTACATCACAAGAGAAGTGTGATTTCTTGTAGGCAAATCAGGAACCAGAAGTGTTGTCTGTACGACATACGCATTTCTGTTCCCATAGCGCTAAAGTTAATCGGCGGGGTTGTAATGGTGATGTGCAGAAAGGACCATGAAATTTATGTTATTACTAATCATGACTGACACACCCATCTTTCAGTCAGTTATGCTGTACGTATTCCATAACTTGGATGCCAGGATAACTTGAAATAGTTTTTCTAAAAAATGTTTCCTGTTCCATCCTTTTTGAGGCAAAAAAGGCCCTCTCTAGGGCAGTGGTTCCCAACTGTGGGCCCCTCTCTAAGGCAGTGGTTCCCAACTGTGGGCCCCCAGATGTTCTTGGATTACAAATTCCAGAAATCCTGGCCAGCACAACTAGTACTGATGGCTTCTGGGAATTTTAGTTCAAGAGCATTTGGGGATCCAAGGTTGGGAATAAAGTTTGGTAGGGCTTTTAGGGAGACTTCAGATGTCAGTTTAACTGGGATTGGGGCATCCTGTCAGACCAGTTAAGCTGACACTTGAACTCTCCCTAAAAGCCCTACCAAACTTTATAAAGCTCCAGAGAAAAATCAGGACCCTGTGTTTGTCAGATTTTTCCTTGGAGGTTATCCAAAAAAAGAATTAACTCCGGAATGAAGCCACACAATAATTAACAATCCTATCAAAATTCAGAAGTCTTACAACTATGAAAAGTTGCAAATAAAGAACCAGTCCAAAAGCAAAACTTAAGTTGTAGGCAGAAATAAAATCCAATCATATGTTGTTTATTGACATCTGAGACCCAAAGTGGCATGAAGTTGTGATGATGTGTTGAATTTCTTTGTGTGTGTGTGTGTGTGTGTGTGACCTTATATTTATAATTCTTACAGTTATTCATACTTATCCCCTCCCCCCACCACACATTTGTAAATAATCTCTAATGCTAAACTGATTGGTCTAAAAGGGTACCAGAAACTTTTCTTTCAAAAGTTCCTTAAGTTAATATCATTATTAAGAAAAGAATCCCTGCTGGCACAGAGATCCACACCAGCGGATATAACCATTATATCAGACATGTGCAGAACTGGAGTCATTCATACTATGAGCATGTGTAGTTAGTTGCTAATAATACCACAAGCCACAGGAAACTTTTACAGAAAGAAAAAACAGGAGAGATTACCTTACCTAGTTCTAAAGCACATCATTGCAACAGTGCATTTGCAGTTTAATTTTAGGACATGATGGAATTTTTAGTGGCAGATAAAGCATTTTGAACATTCTTTAAGTTATAGCTGTTTGTGAATGCCATATGTCATCAGAATAGCCATTTTAATTAAATCTGTATATGAAACTAAAACTGCTCAGTGTTTTATAACAGACACTGGTTCTTTCTGATGTTAAAATACACTAATGGGATATACCACTGTTCTGATTTGTAGGTTGTGCCTGGTTTTGAACATTGCTTCCAGCATCATAAACCACAGTTTATGAACTATTGAATGAGTATCAGGGTCACATGCTCCTTTCCTTGTTTCTCTTTTCTTCCATTTGTGTGTGTTTTGTTTTGCTGCTTTATTTCCGGCTTATATTGACTCAGTTTTTTCTGACTTTATGTCAGTTTAAAACCCTGGATTTTTGCTTGTTAATTGACATTAATCTAGAGCTTCTCAGTTCTCTTCTATTATGGAATTCTGAATTAATATATATCCAAATAAATAATTAAATGGTATGTAGAAGGAGGAGGAGGGGTATGGGGAAACTTCTTAAGTCATAGTTTATGAAGAATGGAACATTCATCCAAATCAGGCCACAGCAGGCACTGCAGAGAAAGTTAGTTTAGTATTGTACTATTGTCATAAACTGGAATTAATGACATTTTAATATCAAGATTTACCTAATTTATAAAGTATTTAAGGAAGTGGACTTTGATGCATGAACACTCATGCTGAAATAAAACTGTTAGTCTTTAAAATGCTACAATATTTTGCCTCTTGCTTATTTTTGTTTTGCCAGTCTGCTGAGACAGTCTGACTGTTTCTTTGAAAATTGTGTATTCATAAACTGATCCATAACTAGAGTTCTTAAGGCAGCATTATCAGAATAAAAACAAAACAAGTAAAACATTGCATTCACTGACTACAGTGAAATAAATGTCTCTAAGCTGCAATGTATGTGGACATCTGTGCATGCAGGATGCTTGAGGAAGTCTTATGTAAAGCTAGAAATACTCTGGTAATGCAGTTGGAATTTCTATTCAATATATAGATTTTTTTAACATGGAGAAGATTAAGATAACACATTTAGATGGCTAGATGTACAGTAGAGCCCAGTGGAGCTTTGGGTCTTAGCTTGTAGGACACAGCACACCATAATGTCTCACATATTATCAATCTTTTGAAATACAGTATCAAACGGAGCAACTGCTATATGGTATGTGCAGGAGAGAGCATGAGTCCAGGGCAAGGACGAAATAACAATGGATTAGAAATTGGTTGTTTGATTGATGCTGCAACTGGTCTCCTGTCCTTCACAGCTAATGGCAAAGAATTAAGTACCTATTATCAGGTATTATTATTATTATTATTATTATTATTATTATT